AACACGGGGTAATAAATAATGTGACGGAAATTAGGCTTTTACAGGATAAAAGAAGTGTAGAGGTTCTCTGTTATGTGCAGTTTATTTGTATGTGCAGTCTTTATATGTCATTTATTTGTGGGGCTGGATATGTGAGTGAGGTATCGCATTTAGGTGTGATTCTGTGCGTGTACATCGTTCAGTTTGCTGATGCAGTCCTATGTAATTCGGCTTGTATATATGGAAGCGTATGCAGTTTATGTATCTAGTCCCTTGCGTATAGTTCGGTGTTCGTAGTTCTTAATGTGTGTGTCGTTCAGTATGTGACCATAGGTCTATTATATGTGTTGTTGTGTTCTCGTATTTGTGTGCAGCCTCTGTATTTGTTTATTCTTCAGTATGTGTGTTTTGCCGTATTGCACTTGTAACTTCTTGTTACATGTGGCAAATTGCTGGATTTGTTGATTGATCTGATTGAAAATTTTGATTATTCATGTAGTACATATTTGACTTTTATTTGCTTACATTTTGGTCTTAGGTAAGCAATATTTGCACTTGCTATCGTTTTCCATTTTTGTCATCTTTTGTCTCTCATCGATTTCCATGGAGGAATTATCTCAGGTATGTGATTAGGCGAAATTTCGAATTCGTTTCAGTTTATCGTATTGACTTCTAACTTTCTTTCTGGCTGAACTTATCTTTCAAATTCAATTCTAAATTGCTCAACAGAAGAAAATTTGATCATCAATATTTTACTACATGATTCTGCATGCAGTGAAGTAATGATGCATAAAAAATGTTGCTCGCTGTCTTAATTCTGTGGTTGAAACCGTTTGTATGACTGATATTCTTGTAATCTTTGCTTAGCGTTCGTAAATAGTCTTAATTGAAAATAAAGAAGGCGAAATTAGCAAATATTAGCAGTTAAATTCAGATTAGCAATTAAGCTTCGCTCATGTTACTTGATAATCTGAGCACCAAAAAATTTATGACATGCCGTAAAAAATTTTTATATTGTTTAAGCACCAATTTTGAATTACGAAGTGTTGTTATAACAAACCCATGCATGGTTGGACTACAAAATTTGGAGTACAAAATAGTAACAATCATATTACAAAGTGATCTGTCTCATAATAATTGCATAACTTGGTGTCTCAAAATTAATAGTGACAAATCTAATAGTCAGTCATGCATAAAGGATCAATTCACAGTGTTACTCTTGTTTTTTACTGGTTTGAATTGGAAGCAGAGTTAATTATTGATTAAATTAATGCAAATATTGGACATAAATTTCAAGATATACAGCTATGATTACATACCATGTAAGAGTATCAGCACACTACAATTATTTTTGCTATTATAGGAATTATTTGGCTCTTTGCAAACAATTTGTTTTTAAAGTTTCAGCTTTCTGAAAGAGAATATCAAGTTGACGAAACTGAATGCACATGGGCGTGTGTCCAACAAAAATCCCAATAATTCAGTATTTCAATAAGGTTCAATCAAGAGCAGCATAAAAGTCATTGCAGTGACTTAATGTTAGTTTTAAATATAAGCTTTTATACTCGCACATGAAATCACAGAATCGAATCACTATGTGCAGAGTGATCGCAATGTCATCAAAGACTGAAATGTTTACTTTTCTGCATGTAAATGCATGAAATTATCGCTTACAGTACAAGATTTTGGGTCTTTATTTGTGCACGTTTAAAGCATACTTAAGTTATTTGATGAGTTAAAGAAAGTCTTCTGAAATATGTAAGATATTGTTTAAGAAAAGCCATGGCTAAAACGAGTAGCGTATTGAGAATGTGAAATGAGCTCCCAAAATAATATTGAATTGCAAGGTTGCACGCTGCTCTCAGTCAACATTGTGATTCGATTCTGTGATTTCATGTGCGAGTATAAAAGCTAATAATTAAACTAGATGGTAATAACCTTCTAAGCAATGTTGCACGTATATTTCCAATTGGATGACGCAAGACCTTCTGAGCGTAAACACGTAAGCCACTTCATAGATATCCATTAATAAGTGTGTAACTGACATATGTGTGATGTACACCAAATCTTAGCAAATTTGACAGCTACATCTCTGCCTACTATTCACATTTGCTCACAAATTATGCAATGTGAAGGAAGACACCTGTCTGTTTAATAAACAACAAAAGTAATCCACTGGATGATCTCGGGCGGAATCGAACCGCCGGCCTTCTGTGTGTTAGACAGATGTGATAACCGCTACACCACGAGACCTCGTTATATCAGAAGTCTTGGTTGCTATATGAAGTATAAAATACAACAAGGAATTGTTTTTTTTATATATAAATGTTGTTTATATAAGGAAAACGTTTATTCCTTGTTGTATACTATATCTTCGAACCAATACACACTTTTCAGTTTAATTTACTTGCCTGATTTATTCTTATGAATTTAAACACTAAAAAAGCGATGAAAAGAATCACTCAAATATATTTACAGAAATGAACAAATTATAGACACGCTAAGGCATCGCATTTTGCACTCAATTTCTGTTGATGCCTCATCGTTGCGACTGATTAATCCTTGAAACATTTTTCGTTTGTAAAAGACGTAAAATATAAATATTCAAAACCGTAACTGAGTTCGAAGGTACAAGCACATCACCTCTCAGATGAAACTAACAATAACTAAAAAATTTGTTCATTATGCCAAATACAATAGAGATTAGTAAGTACGAGCAAATTTACTACTTCAATTTTACAATCTTTAAGGGAATTTCAGCATATGCCATAATACACTAGTATGAAATTTTTAAAGCGAACTTATTAAATTTACTACTCCAATTAAATTGCTTCTTTTAGCTTTCGGAAATAATAAACAGTAGATTAACAATTCCATGCATAATCGAAAAACTTGTCGAGTAAGTTGATACAAATCCGTAATGATGTACCACTTATATGTTCATGAACTCAAGTAAATTATTCAAACATTATCCCAAAACAGTTTGTTTTGTAGCTTTTACATGCATGAGAATCAGTTTTGCAAAAAGCTGCCATTAGCAAAATAAATATAGTGAAAAGGAATACGAACGTATGCAACATTTTTAAAATAATTTTGCTAACTACTATTGCTGAGGTAAATGGCAACTGGGAAAAAATGATCTGAATCTTTTTTGACTTTCCATCCACTAATTCTTATCTCAATATCAACTGTTAATGATCCGCATTTTGTATGGCTTGTTCAGTGTGGCATAGCTAATGATCATAAAGAATAAGACAACCATTATCACTTCTCACAGTGAAAGAATACACATGTAATATTGGAAAATATGTGTGCAGTTTTGTAGATTCTTGCAATTATTGTCAAATACGCTTGTATTATTTAAAGTTTAAAAGTTTGAATGTTGACGAAAAGTATTTTGCTAGTGAGCTTTTGCTTCAAGATAAAACTCATTTATTCAGGAAGACTAATGACGCATTCAAATATATAAGTAAACTGTGCTGACATGTTGCCGAATAATTCTCATTCTTATTCTCTTCACTCTCCCTAATTACTTGGTTTTTCTTAATCCCGTAGTACAGTTCGAGTTTGTAAAACTATCTGGAATAGCTATCCTGTACTAGTTTACCCTTTAGGAATATTTTATACGAATACATGTTCATCTAAAAATTGTTATTTTAGTGATATTTGCAATTTTTCATTAAACTTGTGATAAATGCTATGTTTGTATCTAGTCTTAATATTCGTCCTAAATTTTTCACATATTTAAATTTACGATTGAAGAGTTGAAATGTTTTCTCATCATACTTTTCTGACAGAAATCAAAATTTGTGATAAATTAAAATGAGGATGTCAAAGGTGATGAATGAATTCGAAGATTATTCGATAATATTCATAAAGTATATGTTTTGAAGCACTATTGAATTTTCCACTTTCTCAGACACATAAATGAGTCGTGCAATATGAGCCGAGCAGAGGCGAGTGAAGTTCCACTGATGGAACTCAAGCAATACCTCGCTCAGCAGCAAAGATATTTGGAAGCGCTCGAGAAATATTTAAGGAGCGCATCCGGCATAGTGAGTGAATATTTCGAATTGCTTTTGAAATGTGAATGAGGTAACTAAATCAAATCATTTTACTCCTTCATAATTCTTTTTTTTTCGATAAATGGCCTTCAGGCCGAAAAATAAGTGTTGTAGAGGTAGGTGCAGGAGCTAGAAATGGCCCTACAAAATAACTCGAAGAAAAATCATAGAGAACAAGAATTTACAACTCCTGCGATTGAAACCCGAGAAGGAAAAACGCGGGGACCAGGATCAAATAGCTAAAAAACTGCAGTAATCGGCCGGCAAAAGGAACAAATGGCTCCTGAAAAGGGAGTTACTGGATACATTCATTACACATTCACACATCCACGCGTTCACACATTCACATACCCACACATTCACGCGTCATATCCACACATATCCACACATACCCACACATCCACACATCCATACATATTCCACACACATCCACACATATCCACTCACATCCGCACACACATCCACACATATCCACACATTCACATATCCACACATCCATACATATTCCACACATACTCACACACTCACACATTTACACATTCACATACCCACACATTCACACGCCACATCCACACATATCCACACATACCCACACATCCATACATATTCCACACACATCCACACATATCCACTCACATCCGCACATCCACACACACATCCGCACATCCACACACATCCACACACACATCCACACATATCCACACATTCACATATCCACACATCCATACATATTCCACACATACTCACACACTCACACATTTACACATTCACACGCCACATCCACACATATCCACACATATCCACACATACCCACACATCCACACATCCATACATATTCCACACACATCCACACATCCCCACACATCCACACATACCCACACATCCAGATATCCACACATATATCCACACATTCACACATTCGCACACATATTCACACATCCACACATATTCACATATCCACACGTTCACACATTCATATATATCCACACATCATCCATATATATCCACACATATCCGCACATTCACACATCCAGACATCCACACATTCACATATCCACACATCCACACGTTCACACATCCAGATATCCACACATACCCACACATCCATACATATTCCACACATACTCACACACTCACACACTCACACACTCACACATTCACATACCCACACATTCACACGCCACATCCACACATATCCACACATACCCACACATCCACACATATTCCACACACATTCACACATCCCCACACATCCACACACACACATCCGCACATCCACACACA